TTAATGATACATCGTTTTCTTTTAATATATCATGTCCGTTTTTTGACAGTTTTTTATAACAATATTTGTAGGCCGGGTATAGAAAAGGTACTACCACCTATCAGAAAATATGATGAAGATGTTAAGAAAGATTTAGCCGTTTTTATTTCATTAATAAAATTCACGTTGTAAGCTTTTATGCACTATTTCGTTGATAATAATGTGTGGTGATTAGTGACTGTTAGTCGAAGATTATTCAGAAATCGTGATATGCAGTGTAGTGTGACGTAGGTTTCAGAAAAACATTTTCTTTATCATGCCAACGTTTCGATCTTTATTGAGATCATCTTCAGGGCCTGGGATTTACAAACATTGTTTATATTTAACAAATATATGTAGGATGTGGAAAAATTGAATTTATACAATGCAAAAAATATATTTTTTATATTCAATCAAAGTATTTCTACTAACTCAAAGTGTGTGTAAGCAGAAATAAATTCACTTTTTTCCACATCCTACAAGTATTTGTTAAATTTAAACAATGTTTGAAATCTCAGGCCCTGAAGATGATCTCAATAAAGATCGAAACATTGGCACGATAAAGAAAATGTTTTTCTGAAACCTACATCACACCAGACCGCATCTCACGATTTCTGAAAAATCGGTGATCATAATTTTTTTTTGTTTATTCAGCAGTTTTTTAATTTCTTCTTATTTTGAATCACCTATATTAAGGAATAAGAAGCAATGAAATCAATAAGATACTTACATCGCATTGGGTCATGAACAACATTAATACATCATTAAACATAATAATCTTAAAATGTATATTTTTATCGTTATATCAATGACAACATTCTTATGTTAATGTAAGCCATAAACGAGAACAGAAATGCATGAATTTTAATAAAAAATATTAACGGGAAAAAAATTATATTATTTAGACCGGCGGCTCTGAGACGTGGGGACAATCATTAATGGTAGAACAAGGCACATCCAGGACTTGAGCTATAAAAGTCCGTTGGCCAAAGTATCTGCCAGGGCGAGATCTTCTCGACTTAAAACCATGCTATTTTAGAAAAAAAATTAAACTTCTTATTCATATTCATCGTTTCATTAAAGAAAACAATTTAAAAAAACCAATTAACTCACTCGACAAGTTGGCTCTGGAAAGGATGAAATTGACCTGATTGTATTATTTTTAATATAAAGAGTTTAAAAAGATTAGTAACACAAAGGTAAACAACAAGTTAATCGTATTGTGTTATGTTGTAAATCAAGTATTAATCGTTAAAAATAATCATTAATCGTTGTACCTAGTTACGAAGTTCCATAATATATTATGAAAATACATATAAATACAAGTGTCCGGTTTTTGTCTTTCAGTGTATGTAAAATTTACGAATGTACTATAACTCTCAGTACTAGCTATCACTATAAAGTAAGCAACTACTAAAGTACTACTTTACAAGTAAGTATTCGAATCTCAATAACGATCAACAAGTTAGGATAAAATATAATTTTTGTCCATAATTTGTGACATATAGTGATATCAGGTCAAGCACTTTTTCAAATGCACAAGGCTTGAGTTTAAAGGCATATTTTGATGTATAGTCTAAGTCTAGGTCAGATCAGCAGATCGCTGTTCAGATATGTCAAGGTGAAAGGAATTTTTAAATGTATATAGTGTTTCTGTAGGCATTATGTTGTGTTTATGGTAATTTATTGGAATGAAAGTAATTTATTAGAGTGAAACGAAGAAGTTGTTAAACCCTGCGCCCAACACTATTGAGTACTCTGGGGGACTGTGTCTGACCTCTGGACAATCAAAGTAAGTTGTTAGCGAGAATGGAGTGGGTTCAACACCACACCATGGAATATAATATATAATATGATATATATAAGAATATATATTACAGTATATATTATAATATAGTACTCTGAGGGGGGGGGTGAATGTGACCAGATTTCGATGTCTGAAGTTAATCTCCCACATTGTATCGTTGACTTTGCGGCATGATGAATATTATTAGTTATTGCTCTTTTAACTGTAAATATTAACATATTTGTGTTTGTTTTTACGAGGGTTCGCAACGGCAGGGGTCATGGGTGTCGCGGTTTCTGAGAAAAAGCCCGTTGAATGGAGGGCCGTTGGATTCGAACCAAGGGTCACCTTACAGTGCTGAGGCGCTGAGCCGTGTCAACGCACCGTTGGGGTCTCCGACGCTCCAACTTCGTTGTTCCGATCAATCTTATCTACCAGGTCTCGACGTTTTATCTATTCAATTATGGCTATTTTTCAACTGTAATTGATGATTCATACATTTTATTATATAAAAATGTAAAAAGCTTGTATCGTTGAAGTGACTATTGTTTGAGGTTTGGGGCTTAAATATTCTTTCCTCCACTGCGACCAATATAGACATGTCGTGGAACGCCTATAAATTATAACAGTATCTTGGAAAGTGTACGTTTTCATATAAGCCTAAGCTCTTTCCTCGGTGCCTCCTCGCACACCTTTTTTGGTGTGAGATTTGCCTTGACGAAGAGGCTGAATCGTACCTAGCTAAGCTTCACCTTCTCTCATAGACACCTGCACGCACGTGCCCGCACACGCAATTTCAAATATAGATTGTACAAAACTTTGTTGGTGTAATAAATTAACGAATGTGGCAACGAGTTTTGGCAAATGTGCCAACACTTAGTATATAGTATATGCCTTGTATTCAAGTCACAAAAATATTTTTGTAATAATAATGTATAATTACTTACGTAATTATATTACTTATGTATAGTTGTGTAAAATTGTGATTAATAAGTTCAGAACGTGAGTCATTTAAATATTAATTATTCTTTCATTTAACTTCCACGCCAAGTTCAATGCCAAACAAATCAACCATTGGTAATATAATTATTATATTTAAAGATCATTTCACGCCAGTAGGAACGTACATATATCAATCAACGTCGGTTTGAAACTATGCTCTGGCATTTCCAATGTGAATCCCCTGAAACTTTGATTCCAGACATTCATTACGTCCATTCTCCCCCAAGGGCTTAAAGTGGCATTGTTCTTGTTGACTAATAGCTTTAACTCAGGAAGCAAAGAACTGTATTATTTACAAAAGACATTTTAAAATTAAATTAAATTTAGTTTATATAGATTTGACCAATACTGTAATAACAAAAAATACAGGGGGCGTCGGTGGCCGCAACGGTTTAGGCGTTGACACGGCGCTCATAACTGTAGGGTAAAGGTCCCGGGTTCGAATCCAGCGGCCCTGCATTCGAACCCGACATACTTACAAATGGGTTTTTTCAAAAACACCGGCACCCTGAGGGTTGATATGACCTCTGCTGTTGCGAACCCTCGTAAAAAAAATATTTTTTTTTTATTACATTTATTTGGTATTTACAACTGCAAGTGATGTATTAAGTAAATATGTTCGTATATGTTGAATTATCATATGAGGATCTTGTAGGAGAAGTCGCCCAGTGGTAACACTCCTTCACACTGATATCTTGTTCAGTCTTCACACAATGAGAAGGTCTCGGGGCCACTTTCGCTTCAATCGTCTTGGAGGATTTTCAGGTAAGGTTGGAAGTGATAAACTTCGTACGAGTAGATTACTGTGTGTAAAAAAATAAAAAATAAAAATAAATAAATAAATAAAAATAATAATAAAAAAATACATGCTACACATTACATCTAGATTCATTGGACATTTTTAATTATATTAAAAATTATATTAAATTAAAATTATATTAAAAAATTATTAAAAATTGATATGTACTACTTATATCATAGTTATAGTAAAAGAGAATTTTATTATTTTATTAAACGACCCATCTTCGTAGGAATTGTTTATAATTATCTCTTCTAACAACCCGTAGACTGAAATCCCCCTGATATTTTTATGACGTTTTTATTCTCTCCCTATTTAGTTGGACAATTAAATAATGATATTGGTTTCGTTTACTATATTTACAAATTAAAAGTGAATTTTAAATATCAACCATTCTTACGTGAAATGATAAACAATTTTGCATTTTATTTGGAGATAAAAATAAAATTAAGCTTGATTACCTTTAAAATTAAAGTTTTGTTGTGCTCTTACTTAAAATTACTTTCATTTTAAAGGTAATGAAGCTTACTTTTATTTTTTATCTATAAATAAAATACAAAATATTTGACCAATTCACGTAAGAATGGTTGATATTTAAAATCAACAATTATTGGGAAATCGTGAGATTCGGTCTGGTGTGATGTAGATTTCAGAAAAACATTTTCTTTATCGTGCCAACGTTTCGATCTTTATTGAGATCATCTTCAGGGCCTTGTGTTGTCTGCATTTCAGCAAAAATGTTCTCTGGTTGATAGCCGATGCGAGTTTCTTCTCATTGTTGGCGATATCCTTCGGAATACTTTTAGCTGCGTGTCTATATGTAGTTGAAATTTGTTCATAGAATCCCATGTTCTTCGATCTCGTGTAGAAATGTATGGTGATTAGTGACCGTTAATCGATAATTATTCAGAAATCGTGAGATGCGATCTGGTGTGATGTAGGTTTCAGAAAACATTTTCTTTATCGTGCCAACGTTTCGATCTTTATTGAGATCATCTTCAAGGCTTTGTGTTGTCTGCATTTCAGCAAAAAAGTGCTCTGGTTGATAGCCGAGACCACATCTCACGATTTCTGAATAATTATCGATTAACGGTCACTAATCACCACACATTTAAAATCAACTTTTAATTCGTTAATATAATAATAAGAAGAAAGAGAACATCTTCTAATTAACGTAATTTGAAATAAAAATCAAATAAACCGTTTTTTACTTTCATAAAATAAACTATGAAAACTATTAAAAAATAGTTTTACCACCCAATGAAAGAGTGCTTCACGTGGATTCTTTCTTACGAGGCGTACATTGGATAAAAATATTTCATTTATGTAGAGATGCGAGAAAACATGTTAAATATTTGTAGAGTTACAAATAATAAAAATAACAATTGTACGTACTACTGTTGACGTCTGCGGGATAATGCACGTCTGTTATGATAATTTCGGTTACATTTTGGTTCGTCTAGACTCTTTGCGTATGGCATTTCATCTTCACTAGTTTGTCGTGCGTTATTTTGTCAAACATCTGCATCACCTACTCATGTAAATCGACACAAGTCCATAACAAAAAAATATTTTATTGGATATTACAAGCATTCACTTTCTCTGGGTAACAAGCAATAGCGTACAGATATGAAAATAAAATAAAAGAACTACCTACCCACTGGTAGCACTCTTTCATGTGGGTGGTAAAACCATTTTTGTATATTTTTAATAGCTTATTTCATTAAAGTTAAAAACGGTTTATTTTATTTTTAATATCAAATTATGTTAATTAAAAGTTTTTTTTGAGGTAGCAAAAAAATAATTATTTTTGGTATAGGTACAATGTTATATACATATATAATGATCAGCAAAAGAAAAATCTAGATGTATATAGTTATGTAGGAGATAAAATATTGTCAAAAATAAATTTGAAAAAAAAATGGTGATAATATATTCTGTTGGAGTTTAAGGCTAAAGAAGTATGATAATAAAATATACGGCAGTATATACGTGAAATGTGTTTCTCAGAAAAAAAAGCCAAGATATCAGAGTCAACTTTCTCACCAAATTAGCCCAACTTTAGAGTCGGAATACCGAGTCGGGAAGCGATAGGGACAACAATTTGTTGAAAGAAAATTATTCAGTTAAGAAACTGAACAAAAGTAACGATAATAAACTACAACTTGACAACAGGTACAAAGTGCCAACATAACTTTAAGGGTTAATTTGACAAAGCACAATATAAAGTGGAAATAGTAAAAATAGAAGAAGAAAAATAACTCGATTAATTCAAAGTTAAAAGCGCATGTTTCGATGCTTAGTGCTACCGTCGCTTTACTTGGATGATTGAATTGCAAGTTTTGCCGTGATTTTGTCCGTTTTGTTCAATGTTAAAGATGAATGGTGACAATTAGGCTATGAATATTTATATAAATTATCAAAAAACTCAACACGATCACTCAAAATTTGAAACAAATAAAGCCAACCATTTGAGCAAAACAAGACTGATCAAAAATATATACTTGGTGACAAAAAAGTTACGTTAGCTATTGAAGATATAGCAATTGTACAGTAATTAAGATAAAGTATTATGAAGAATAATGAATTTTATGATTGAGAAATTTAGAAATGAACAAGCATTTTTATAACACATGAAAAGGAACGAAGCTTAACTCAACTTGGATAAATATACCAAGGAGATTAAAAACGATACCGTTAAACGGATAAATTCCTCCGAAACATTTCAAAAGGAAAGAGGATTTTAACAAGACACCCCACAGGGAAAGTGAGGCATTCGAACAACATATTAAATTGTACAAGGGTTTAAGTATTTTGTCACAACATTTCTTGTTCTTTTTGCCATGTGCTACTAAGGGTGAAGCTTTCACGTTTGAACATTACACGCCCAGCTTTCTCGTTTGTACGTTTACAAATATTATTAGAGGAATAAAGTAAACACGTTGAAAACAAAGGAATGTTCAAAACTTATTAATTTTTACGATATTACAATAGCGTAAATCGATATGAGAATTCTGCTCACGACAGCGACTCTTTGGGTCCTCTATTTCGATTCCTGGAGAAAACGGGTATATATAATTTATTGCTGACAATCTTAATATTGTATACATACATACTAACATGAATTTGGACAAAATTTTTTTGCTTATTCTACACTCCAACATATCGGACACTTACACGCCACTTCTTGTGAAGACCCTGATTTCGCAAAACTTTTTTTTGAAAATTATTTTTATTTCGCCTTTCTGTTTGCTCAAATCAAGTATGTGAACATAACATTTTTTATGTAGATTGCAATAAAAAATATAGTAAAAGCTATTAAAGTTAAAGTATTATCAATTACCAAAAATATTCTAATAAGGAAATATTTTTCAAGTAATAAACAAGGTCATAATTTTCATAAACTAATATGAAATTTCGTTTTAGCACCTCTAGAGTCTATTTTACTTTGAATTTATATTTATTGATTTTTAAACACTAAAATTTGCTGTGTGTAAAACTACATACTAATTAACTAATTTCACATTAGTTTTGCACAAAAAATAAATAAATAAAAAGGCCTAGTTCACTTGAAAAATATCGTTTTATAAAAGTTTTTTAGAGAGAGAGAGAGAGAGAGAGAGAGAGAGAGAGAGAGAGAGAGAGAGAGAGAGAGAGAGAGAAAGAGAGAGNAGAGAGAGAGAGAGAGAGAGAGAGAGAGAGAGAGAGAGAGAGAGAGAACGAGAGAAAGACAGAAAGAGTGAGAGAGTGAGAGAGCCGTAAACAGAGTCACAATTGTGACATTGATATATCAATAGAAACTAAAAAGCAAACAGGCCTACATATAAGAATAATAAATATAAATTTTTCATTGAATGATAATTAAATCAGAAAATATGTTAGCAGGAAAATGGTAATTTTAAACTTATGTTGAGGTGAGCGGCCCCAGAAGAAAAGTCCAAATGCTTCGTTCAAAACATGTTTTGACTTGTCTTCTGGGGCCGCTCACCTCAACATAAGTTTAAAATTAGCAATTGATTATCCAACGGCCGACTAAAACAAGGACATAAGGAGGAAATATTTGTCAAGTAATAAACAAGGTCATAATTTTTTTCATAGTGAAACTAATATGAAATTTCGTTTTAACAACTCTAGAGACTATTTTAGTTTGCATTTAAATTGATTTTTAAACACTAAAATTTGCTGTGTATAAAACGAAATTTCATGTTTTGCACACAAAAAAATAAATAAAATAATAATAAAAATAAATAAATAAAAATGCCGTTTACTTGAAAAATATCGTTTTACAAAAGTTTTTTGCTTATTGATAAGATTCGATAGCTTTTACTATATTTATATTAAAATAAGAGAGAGAGAGAGAGAGAGAGAGAGAGAGAGAGAGAGAGAGAGAGAGAGAGAGAGAATTGTGACTGATTATTATCAATTGAAACTAAAAATCAAGCAGGTTAATTTATACAGCCTACGTATAAGAATAATAAATATAAATGTTTCATTGAATAATAATTAAATCAGAAAATATTGTAGCATTAATACCGAAAAAGAAAACGTATTAAAAATAAACGGGAATGGAAGAACGCGGATCGGCTTGGAAAGGTTGTGTACGCTCAGATAGGCGAGGTCATTGTGAAAGGCTCGTTGGTCTAGGGGTATGATTCTCGCTTCGGGTGCGAGAGGTCCCGGGTTCAAATCCCGGACGAGCCCAATTTTTTGTACCGTACGCGCCCGCTTACTGACATCTGGATTTTTGAGTACCAACAGAAATATTGTTTAAAACGCCACATATGTATCAATAATTTTATAAAATTCAATTTCTTTTTTTTTTTGAACCGAGAGGTATTTATTTGTTTTGCACCGTTTAAATAATAATTTTGTTTAATAAATGTAGGATTAACTATTAGTTGTTTTACTTTATTAAATTGAAATGTAGCCCATTCTCCGTTCGATGATTATGTTTAATGACAAAATAAGGCTCGTCGGTTTTGATACAATTTTCAACCTTTTCGTACATATTCAGCATTTTATGTTTTATCAACTATCTACTGTTTTCGTCATAAATCTACGCGTAGCTTTTAACTATTTATTTTTGAGGAAATCCCAAGAAAAACCTTGACAGAAAAATCGTCAAATTTTCTTTATTACTATACCCTATTATTTATATAATTCTTTATTAAGATTCTTTTCTGAACTTCAAATTTAATTTTTGGTAAAAAAACAAATACTAATTTCTTCAAAAACTGCTAAATTTAAAATTTGTAATAGTAAAAAATTAAAAAATTTGCAACCTCGTTGGAAAACTTGACGGTCGACTTTTTATTATATATATATTTTTTTTTTTTTTTTTTTTAACACAGGCACTCTACGGGCATAAAACCTCGTAGTTGAAATACCCACGCACAAAAAATCTCAAAATAATATACAGGCATTATATTTAAACAACCGATACAACTACTAGTAATTCACTAATTACAGTCCTTGATAATAAATATTTGGATTGAGCGGTCTTCAAAGAAACGTCATTTTATTGACCTCTAGATTGTTTTGCCCTGTTGACCTTAAAATCAATCAAAAGCTTGGCAACAAAAAACTGAATTTGTGGGAAATAATGAGGTGAGTGGGTCTAACACTTTTTGTTAAGGATGGTTCTACTCACAAAACTTTTGTTCGCAAGTTTTGGTTGCGTTCAAAAGTTTTGTGAGTAGAAACATCCTTCACAATATAGGAAAAAAATTAAATTTGTTTTTTTTTTCTTCGAGAATATACCGAGGTCCAGGTTATATTTGTTGCTGGAATGCTTGTCCTATGGAAAAAAGGATAATAACAAAGTTCAGAGAGAATAAGAATCGTAATAAATGAATTCTTCATTCCAGATATATCTTATAATTTGATGAAGCAAATCGTGAAAAATGCTTTTCCAACCATACTACGAGATCCAGATTGTACTTGAGTAAAAAAGTGGTCGATACATACAACTTGAACACAGGGATCCTACGAATCGACCATTAAAAAAAAAAGTTCGAAAAAGCTACATGAAATAAATTTTGCCAGGACAAAAAGATGAATTACTAGATTAACCCCACTTGCCCTTTTTCACATTGTCACCACTTTTTTTCCTGTTTAGCTTAAAATTTCTGCGTTTTGGTTTGATGTAATTAAAAAAAATAATAACAGGAAGACTTAAAGAAAATACCACTAGAAAACTTATTAAACAAAGAAATTTTCAAATTTGTCAAGCTCTATCGTGAAGTAATAGAAATAATGAAGCTGGGGTGAGTATGTCGATTTATTTTTTGTAAAAGTAAGGAAGTAAGTCTCTTACTCACAGATTTTGAAACACTAACTGATTGAATAAACATAAATTGTTGATTATCTGCGAAAAGGTTGAAAATTGGACCATGGTTAATACGAACTTTTTTGGTTACGTGAGGTGTAGAAGCACTTGACGAACTTTGTCGTACGAGTAGTGAATACCCTGTACATGTTATGATATATAGAACATTATAATATTATAATATTTGA